CATGGCGTCCGCGTCGGCTGCCGGCGCCGGTCTGGATGGCTGTTTGGACGAGATGACGGGTTGAATTGTGCGCCACATTGAGCTCCGGCCACTCGTCTGTATCCGCCGACGTAGGTCCTCTCTAGTGTCGCTACGGATGGCTGACTTCACCCGGCGGTTCAGCTCCTTGTAGGTGTGACGGTCGCCGTGGGTTAGAGCAGCGCGTCGCTGGGCCATCAGTTCCTTTGTTGATTCGCTGACAGGCGGCGCGGTTGGATTGCGGACCTTAAATCGCTTGACAGGCACCAGACGGTCGATGATCGGCAACGTAACCCTTAGAAAAAAGTCCCACTGCTTCTCAGGGTTGGCACACCTGAACACGGTAGACCAGTCGGCACACCGCAATAGACGGCCGGCCTCCGCCACGTCTAGCTTGCGCCAGCACCTGGCCGACAGACTGCACTGCGCCGGTCGGTAGTCCGGCACCGTCACAATCACCCGCGACCACCTGTGAGGACTAAAGTCACAATGGAGTGTGCCAGAACGAACTGTCCCGCTGTTGCTACAGATGACGTCAATCGTTGAACCGGACGGCTCGTATGTCGGGCCTCGAATGTGCTGCTGTAGGGAGTAGGTGGAGAGCAGCTCTCTGAACTTATTGGACGCGCTGCTGTTGTTGTCGGCCAGGTTGATATTCATGTCTCCAGTCAGGATGATCAGTCCACTGTGCCGCGTCAGAACGTGCTGCACCTGCCTCTCCAGTTCGTCTAAGTCGGCTGTGACGCGGGCGGCCGTCTGCACTGGGGGTCGGTACAGTGAGCACAGCATCACTTTGCGTCCGCCGGCACGGATCCGCACCCACAGCGACTCGAGTCTGGACCCCTCGGTCGGCCGTTCCGGGCTGTCAATCACGGTCACTTCTAAGGCGTCACGCACCAGCACTGCGACACCCCCGTATCCGCGCCCGTCCGGCCTGTCGCGCCGGATGAGTTGATATCCGGGTACGGGGACTAACCGGCTGGGTGTGGCTTGTTTGAGCCAGGTTTCGCTCAGCGAGATGACGTCATATCCATGTCGGTCTATTTCTTGTCGGAGCTCTAGCAGATGCGGCTTGAGGGACTGTACGTTGATAGCGGCCACATACAGCTGGTTAGGGCGCGGTTGTGTCATCCATTTCCATCCTCCCCGGGAACCGCGCTTTCGGCTTCGCACCCCTCGCCGGGTGCGGCTGGGCGCGCCCCGATCCCTGACACGCCCGTCAGTCGGCCCGGTCACGTTCACCGCCCGCGGCCGGGCAGGAGCCCCACGCACCGAGGGCTGGCGCGAACCAGGGCCGGGGTCGCGGTCGCGGACCGGGTCAGTGCTCCGCGCAGCCGGTGGCGGGCGGGAGGGACGAGCCGGTGGCGTGCGGGAGGGGCAGGCGTCTGCAACGCGTACGAGAAGTTCGTCGCTGCTAGCCGATTCCTCAGTGCGGGCGCCTCCGGGACGGGACCGAGTCCTGGCGCGTGGAGCCGGGGCTGGCGTCGCAGCGAGCAGCAGCAGGCGGAGCGCCAACAGAGACACCAGGCATCTCAGGAGGTCGGGCTGCATCTGCACCATCCGCTTATCCTTGCCTGATTTCGGGATAGGGATGATGTTGGCGTTCTTCCACTCGTGCGGGACGGAGCTCTCCCTCCAGGATGCGTTGATGAGGTCGAGCAGGGCGCGTTGGGCGGTCGGACCCAGGTGGCGGAGGTGTTCGTTGGCGATTCCGTCCGGACCGGGGGCCTTCTTCAAATGTAGCTTTTGGAGTTGGCGTTGCAGCTCTTCGGGCGTGAACTCGGAGCAGCTGTTGCAGCGTCTGCCGTGGCACTCACGGCAGCTGGACGGCCTGTTGTGGGTCCACTTGTGCTTCGCCTCCTTGTCCAGTTTGGGCGCGCGGACTTGCCTCGAGACGTGTGCGTACGTTTGGATGAATGCCGTCGCTTTCTCCTTGTCAGAGGCGAGTAGCCGGCCGTTGTGTGTCATGGCCTCTCCGGGTCGGTGGTCGTCGGACGCCCCCTCCCATTTCTGCGGAATCTTCGAGACCCTCCCCAGGCTGGCAGGCTTGTTGAGTGTGGTCTCGACGAACTCTCTGAAGTGTGTTCGGGATACGCGTTGTTCGACTTCAGCCGCTCGACGCTTCGCTGCAATCCACCGTTCTCTGCTGGCCGGGTCGTCCTGGCGCAGCTGCTGGCGCGCCTCCCGACGCTCGGCGATCGCGAGTTGCAGCTCAGGGTCGAGCGCCCAGGGCTTCGGGTCCGCTCTCGCCCCGCTGGGGATGTGGCGTCTGCTGGCGCGTTGGAGAACCTCTGTGAATCTGGTGGCGAGAGACTGGGCGGTGCATCGGGGGGCGGGCGGCTCCGATAGAGCGGCCTCGCACTCCTCCCGGAACGCGACCCAGTCGGCTTTATGGAAGGCTGGCTTCGTCTTGCGGATTCTCCGAGTGCCACCGGGGGTGGTCCTCACGCTCACCACCATCGGCAGGTGGTCGCTGCCGAGGTCTGGGCCCAGTCTCCAGGATGCTCTTCTGGCGAGACTGGCGCTGCAGGCCGTCAGGTCGGGCGCAGTGGAGCTACCAGAGCGGTAACTGGAGTGAGCGTGCTCGCCGCTGTTCAGCGGCAGCCATCCAGCCTCGTCCATCCAGTCCGCGATGCGTTGGCCGACGCGGTCTGCAGCCTCGCACTGCGCGTCCCAGAGGGGGTGGTGCGCGTTAACATCACCCACCAGCAGGGTCGTGTCGTCCACCGGCAGGGCTCTTGGGTCGAAGCGATCCTCTCGTTCGTCCTCCTCGGTGTTGCGGATCGGAGGTCGGTAGATGTTGATGATGTTGAGGTGTCTGTCAGAGTTGAGGATGCGGATCCCGCATGCCTCGGTCGTGTCATCGTCCGGGCTGACGAGGCGGTCCAGGAGGGCGAACGATAGACCACCCCGAACGTAAATGGCCACGTCGCCCCCCTTCGCCGCCGCACCTGCTACTCTTCCGCGGCCCCTCCGGGTGACCACCGGAGGCTGGAACCCGGGGATCCTTGTGACGGACTTCGCGGGGAACTGCGCTTCCTGGATTGCTACCACATCTGCGCGTACCGATGGGAGCCAGCTTTGGAGCTCGGGGACTTTCGTCCTGAGCCCTTCAGCGTTCCAAACAACGACGTGTAGGAGGCTTCTCTGCGCTCGGTTGCGGTGGTAGCGGCGGTTCTTCGCTCTGCGTCGATCGAGTCCCCGGGGTCGCCCCCGAGGGCCGCCCCCTCCGCCGGTGCTAGCGGAGGGGGGCGCGGTTTCCGGACTATTCATCTAGCAGGGCCGGGCCGCGGTCGCGCGGCTCCGGTCCCGCAGTGGGCATGACGCAGCCCCGACGCGTAGGTGTGTGGTGGTCGCAGGTAGTACGAGGACCTCCGCAGCAGTGAGCGTGGTCCGGGGGACCACCGTCGTCGTCCTCTCGGAGAGGGCACTTTGGAGCCCGTTTGGCTTCCGCGGTCGCTCGCCACGTCCGCGGCGGGTCCGGGGACCCACGCCCCCCACCTCGTGAAGGCGGGCTCCTCCAGGGGACTCCCTCCAATACTCCCTCAATTGTATTGGCTCGATGACCTTCCAGAGCACGGCTTTTTGGCAACGTAAGATGGCGCCTTGTCGGCTTCACCTGAATGGAGGTGGTTGCGGGTCCAGTTTATTTATACGTCCGTGGGTAGTATGTGTAATAATGTGAATCTATACTCTGTTCCGTTTCAAGCTTGCAGCCGAAGTGCCCTGCTGAAAGCAGTGCGTGATTTCTGTATGTACGCTCTTACATTATAAGACGCAAATTCTTGAGCGGAGGAGCGATCTGCCGAAGAAACTCCGACTGCAAGCTTGATATGGAACAGACTTATAGCACTGCATTTCACTATAACAATGCCGTCAGGTCAATCATGTGAGAATATCAGACGCATTCTTGTGACTAGAGCTGCGGAAGACTCAATATAATCAAGTTGCAAGTTTCAAGTACTCGTATATCAAGGTTCTTTCTAACTGGGTAGGTACGGCTCTCGCGAGATTAAGCGGTAGGTTTTGCATTTTTATATTTCCGGTTATATCTAAGAAACTAATCGATCTACGATGAAGCCATTTTACACGATCATGGCCGGCTTGTGAACCAACAAGTCGATCGCATCTTCAACACTTAAAAGCTTAAGACGACGAAGATATAGCCTGAAGTACACAAAATTTTCTAGGTGCAAAACTTGCCGCTAAAACCCGCGGGACCTGTACCTACACTAGGTTAAGGACGGGTGGAAGGAAGGCTTGTCGAGAGACGTGTTCCGTCCGCGCGGTGCTTACACACCATGATCTCCCTCAGTCGGCGCCGCCCGCCGCGCCGGCGCAGTAACCAAACGTCGTTATCGTAAGGGCCGTGAAATGAGGAGGAAAAAAAAAACGCTCTACCCTGGTGACATCTACTGGCTGAGAATCGGAGTAGTAGTGCTCGGACACCAACGCTGAGCGGGGCCACCTCCGAAGTTAAAGGAAAAGGGCCACCTTTAACATGGGGATTGAAACTGAGATAGCCATCTTGTAGCCCGTGTCCGAAAACCCATCTGTCTACCTCCTTACGGCCGATTTCGGCCTCCATTCGTAGTTATCGGCAATTTTAAAAGAAAATACGCCAGGAATGCGTCCTTATCCCAGGAATGCGTTCTTATCCGACAATAAAGCCACCCGCGGCGAGGCTTTGGTTTTTTACCAATCAGCTCCAACCAGCTCAGCTTTAACCAATCAGCTTATCTGACACAATCCGACGAGTCTGTCTTCTGAACGCTGATTGGCTTGAGTGTGACGTCATCGCTATGCCATCATACAGTAGGTGCCGTAGAGAGTATCAACATGGTACCAATATGTTAAATAGTTTTAAATACTTTTTCGCGAATTGTGCACTTCTGGCACCAGTTTTAAAAAGAAAATGAAAAATAATAATGTCAAAATGAAAAACAACGATATCTTCATATTTCACAAAGGTGGCCTGTTGGTGCAGCAAAACCAAGAGTCACAATTGCATAAAATCCAGGACCCGACGGCTTTGCAGCGATAACCGCTCGTGAAAATTTAAATGACAAGTTTAACGAATTTAGGTAGACTCGAGAGACAAAAAGGAAGAGAAAGAAAATTTTTGAAATGGCTTGAATGGCAAACCTCGAAACGATAAATATAATATAGGAAACGAAACAAATGAAGAAACACTAAGAACCGCGAAGTAAAACGAAGAAATCAGAAGAATAACGAAACGAAATGAAAAGTGATTAGTAAATCATGACGGTGTATTGACATGGAAATCACTTGCGAGGTTAAAATACATGTTAAATTACGATTAAGTTGATATCGTATCGAATCACCAAAGCCATTTGATGCCAACAGGCACTAACAGTTTCGAGGTGTCTATATCAACAATAGTGCAATGCAAGAATAAATGTTATCAAGAACTGAAAGTCGAATATTCACAGTTTTAGGCTCAGCTGAGTCTACATTGAAGCTATCATTACTCCCGATATTATTTGAGCCTGGTGTTGTTCCGTCAAGAAGAATTGTTTGAAGAATTGTCAAGAAGATTAATAGCACGCTGCTATTGCTAATTCGAATTCATACAAAAGTTGTCAAACCTGCTATCGAGGTAAGGTCTACACAGCAATTATAATCCCTGGCAACTAAATCAACGGCATCAACTGCATAACTTGGACACCCGTTGGCCTGTGCTTCACCCTAGTTTCTTAGCGTACCGTTACGAGACAATGGAGAATTTGAAAGTGTCTGAACTTAAAATGATGCTGAAGGCACGCGGTCTTAGCTGTAAAGGAAACAAGGCCACGCTTGTAAATAGATTGGTAAATGTGCTAGGAGCGCGGAATACGTTAGATGCCGAGCCATGTTTGGAAAATAGTGCAGTTCATCCCGATGACAGTGTGTCCCGTGTTGAGTCCCCGTCTGCTTCTGTGTCTCCTTCCAATGTTAAGTCTGAGTTAAGGCGCGCAGAGGAGGCAGCCGATAGAGCCGCTCTCATCGAAAGATTAAAGTCCTTAAAAGAAAAACAGCTCATTGAGAGTCAAATTGCTGAACTTAGACGTGGACAGGAGCTGCTGGAAATTCAGGCGACCTTAAATGAATTAACTGCTAGAGAGCAGGCGTTAAAGACGTATAGAAATGATGATGATGTAAGCCCATTACCAGCGAGCTTTCATTCGTTACCCTCACATGAGACGGAAACCACTCGCATCTCTCACTCTCACGCTAACCCTACACTCCAGTACGTCCCAAACTTGCGGCCGGATATATCTCAGCAAGCACCACCCGCGTTTAGTCGCCGCGCTCATGAAGGCACATCTGCTGCTTTAATAACCGAAAGAGAAAGGACGGCAGCGTTGATGCGTCTGCCTCCGATCGAAATCAAGAAATTTGGGGGTGATACCACTCAGTTCGCTCAGTTTATTCGATGTTTCGAAATGAAGATCGCTTCTAAATTGGATGATGACAGTGAAAAGTTATATTACCTGGAACAAAACATAATTCCGGGAAGTAAGCCGCACAGTATTGTTGAGAGCTGCATGTATCTTGAAGACGGGTATCAACATGCGATGCAGATTTTGCACAAGAGGTATGGCCAGCCTAGCACAATCGCAGCTGCCTTTATTGATAGAATAAGTAGCCAGGAACAGCTCAATGCAGAAAATGGAGAAGAGCTGGACCAGTTCTCGTTGTTGCTCCTCAGTTGTAAGAATGCACTAGGAAGCTCGTGCAGCTTCATGAATGATCCTCGAACCCTGCGTACTATTACAAGGAAGCTACCGGTACCACTCCTGAGTAGATGGCGACGTCGTGTAGACGATTTGGAAGAGTATCAGGGGCGGCCAGCAGTCTTCGAAGACCTGGTTGAATTTGTAGCACGAGAAGCCAGAATAGCCACAAACGCTTCGTTTGGACAACATATGTATAGCAGCCGTGAAGGAGCAAGTGCAAAGCAGAACGAAGGGGAATTATTTTCCCAAAGTTATCAGAAACCTTTAGTTGCGGCAACGCGCACCCAGTCTCAGAATGACAGCGGGTGTCTGTTTTGCGGGGAGAAAACGCATAATGTTACGGAGTGTAACAGGCTGAACAGCGTCCCATTTGAAGAGAGGAAAACAATTTGTGATGAAAAATGCTTTATGCTTTGGGTGCCTCCGTAGAGGCCATAGACGTTCATTTTGTCGCAGACCAGTGAGCTGCCAGCTATGTAACCGAAATCATCCGACGGCGCTGCATGATCGCACTTTAGAAGATCGGCAAACGCTGCTTAAACAGCCGCCTTTGCCAGAGGATACAAACACAGCCAATGCGACCACTTGCCGTGTCGCAGCAGACGAACTCAAAAGGGGTGCTATGCTGCCGTTGGTGGCTGTGAAGATCAAAAGCTCTTCGGGACAATACACTACATACGCCTTCCTAGACAGTGGTTCAACGCATTCGTTTATATCGACGTCATTATTGCGCCTGCTCGGTATGGAGCACCGTCCCGGTCGGCAGCTGTCGCTGACCACGGTGCATGGTGCCGCTTCTATCCCGACTCAGATAGCAGAGGGGTTGTCCATTACTGACCTCCAGGGCTTCAATACTTTGCAGCTGCCACCCCTCTACACTCTGCCAAGTATTCCCGTTGACTCTGGTCATTTCCCTAAGGTTGCAGATGTTGAAAGGTGGGAACACTTACGAGGCATTGATCTCCCAGATTCTAATGTATCAGAAGTCGGTTTGTTATTGGGAGCCAATGCATATTTAGCAATGGAACCACTGAGGGTTATACCAAGCATAAATAACAGTCCGTATGCAATACTCACAAGATTTGGATGGATAGTATGTGGAATAAATCAGACGGAAGGTCAGACGGCAAACACCGCGATCTTCAAGACAAACGTAACCGCGAGCACAACGCTAGAAGAAATGGTAAAATCTCTATACAACCACGAATATGAAGAAAGCCTTCACTGTACCAGGAGAGGTTTGTCTGCAGAAGATCGGTTGTGGCTCCAAAGAGTCAATACTTCGATTGAACATGACGGCCATCACTACAGTATTACTTTACCACTGACTGAAGAAAGTTTGGTTTTACCGAACAATATCTCAATTGCAAGATCGCGGTTAAACAAGTTAAAATTCAGATTGGAAAGAAACAAACTGTTCGCTTTCGATTACATGTCGTATGTGGACACAATGATACAGAAAGGATTTGCAGAACGTGTTCCAGAAGGAAGTGAAAATAGAAACGATGGTAGGGTGTGGTACCTGCCTCACCATGCCGTTTATCACTCGCACAAACCCGACAAAATACGGGTGGTTTTTGACTGTGCCGCTCAATTTCAGGGCATATCACTGAACGATTGCTTGCTTCAGGGCCCAGACCAAACCAACACACTTCTAGATGTGCTTCTACGTTTCCGATTAGAGCCAATCGCCTTTATAGCTGACATAGAGGGCATGTTTAATCAAGTACATGTTCACGAGTCAGACAGAGATTTACTCAGGTTCCTCTGGTGGCGAGATGGAAACACGTCAAACGAATTACAACAGTTCAGAATGAAGGTGCATATTTTTGGCGCCAAGTCGTCTCCTGCCGTTGCTTGCTATGCACTCAGGCGAACAGCCGAAGATAACAAAACTCATTTTTCCGAAGAAGTCGTAAGCACAATACGACACAATTTTTATGTTGATGATGTACTGAAGTCATCTCCCGACGAGCAGACAGCTATTGGTCTAGCTCATGAGCTCAAGGAGTTATGTAGCAAGGGTGGCTTTAATCTTACAAAATTCTCGAGCAACAGCCGGACGGTGGTCAATTCTATCGCATCGGATGACAGGTCCAAGAAACTTAGAAAAGCTTTGATTGAAAATGAGCATCACCCCGATGAACTGGCACTTGGTATAATATGGAAAACTGAGGAAGATGATTTGTCTGTTTCCTTAGACATGTCGAGTCTCACTTCAAGGTCAAAGACCAGGCGAGGCCTATTGTCCGCTGTCAGCTCACTCTATGATCCGTTGGGCATGATTGCCCCGACTATTCTACAAGGAAAAAGAATCCTCCAAGATCTTGCCAGAAAACAGGTTAACTGGGATGGGGAAATCCCGGAAGAAGAGCAGAAAAAGTGGGTAGCTTGGCTGATGAATGTTTCTAAAACAAGTCTCATATCGATCCCGCGCTGCATTAAGCCAACAACTTTTGGAAGCATCGTATCGTGCGAGCTGCATCACTTCGCTGATGCCAGCGAGTGGGCATATGGCACTGTCTCTTACGTCCGTATTGTTGATACAGCGGGGAATATCCATTGCTCATTTCTGAAGGGAAAGGCACATTTAGCTCCACTGAAGACTGTGACCATCCCCCGTCTCGAGTTGATGGCGGCCGTCACGGCTGTAAGAATCAGTGCATTACTCTCTGATGCGATTATTTATGCAAGGTCACCTTGTAAGGTCACTCAGGAGCTATTCTGGACGGATAGCACGACAGTCTTGCGCTATATCTCGAACAGGAAAACGCGATTCCACACCTTCGTGGCTAACAGGTTAGCTATTATCCACGACGGGTCTACTCAAGAGCAGTGGATGTTCGTACCAAGTGCTCTAAACCCCGCCGATGATGTTTCAAGGGGTGAACAAAGTGATCGGTGGTTGACAGGACCAGAATTCTTGTGGAAGTCGAGAAAGGACTGGCCCAAAAAACCTTCAGCTCTACTGGAGTTAAAGGAAGACGACCCAGAACTTAAAGTTTTAGTGAGTTCTATTGGTGTGAGCAATGATCTTCTGAGGGACGAAACAAACGTGAAACATACATTAAGTGACCCGATTGAAAAGCTTCTCAAGCATTACAGCGATCGAAGAAGGCTCATTCGTGCGGTAGCTTGGATCCTCAAGGTAAAGAAGTTTCTAAAATCGCGCATTGTACACGGGGAGGGCCCCTCCTCACGCTTAACGAACTCGGATCTTACGATAGCTGAGGAAGAAATCATCAGATATGTTCAGACTAACGCATTTGTTCAAGACTTTACTCAACTTCGCGCGGGAAATCATGTCCGTGCATCAAGCACCCTGCACAAGTTGGATCCATTCCTCAAAAATGGATTGTTGCGAGTTGGAGGACGTTTGCAGAACGCTGACCTGACCTACAACGCTAAACACCCGGTCATTTTGCCTTCTCGCAGCAGTTACACTGAGATGCTTGTGCACGACACTCATAGACTTTCTGGGCACGCTGGTAGGCAGCATGTTCTTGCTGATTTGCGGAAGAACTTTTGGATTCTCAAAGCGAATGCCACGGTTAGAAGGATGTTGAAATCGTGCGTATTCTGCCAGAAGAAATTTCATCCAGTTGAAGTGCAAAAATGCGCAAACTTGCCAGAAGACAGGGTAATGGCTTTGGAAAAGGCATTCACAAGAACGGGTGTCGACTACTTTGGGCCATTTTATGTGCGACATGGTCGGGGCCAGATTAAGCGTTATGGCGTGCTCTTTACCTGTTTATCCATACGAGCCGTGCACCTTGAAGTAGCTGATGATCTGTCTGCCGACTCTTTTATTTGCGCCCTAAAAAGATTTGTTTGCAGGAGAGGTCACGTCAAGGTTTTACGTTCGGATAGGGGCACAAACTTTGTGGGAGCCAATAATGAGTTACAGCGAGAACTGCACAGACAAGAGCAAAACGAAGACTGGATCCACTACAAGGCGCTGACAATGGAAATCGACTGGATATACAATGTGGGAGGAGCGTCCCATCATGGAGGTGCGTGGGAAAGGCAAATTAGAACGATCCGGAGACTTCTCGAGACCGTGATCAATGGAGCGATGAAGGATGAAACGTTGCAGACGATTATGTGCGAGGTCGAATCCATCATAAACAACAGACCATTGACGCCAGTTTCAGCCGACTCATGTGACATTCCACCACTTACCCCTAACCACATTCTGCTCGCTGGCAATGGGTATGATTTAGTCCCCACCAACTTATTTGATAGGTCTGACTGCGATAGTCGTAAACGGTGGAAACAGGCTGCGTATTACGCTAGTATGTTTTGGACACGCTGGCGAACAGAGTACTTGCCGTTACTACAAGAAAGACCCAGTGAGACAGCCAAAGATAGGCCAAATGTTGGAGTGGGCGATGTGGTGCTGCTTGTAGATGATGATGTACCTCGAGGCCAGTGGCCGCTAGGTAGAGTGTTAGGGGTGAAGCACAGCGCCGATGGGCTGGTTCGTACCGTCAAGCTGAAGGTCAGGGGCACGACCTTCGAGCGCCCAGTGACGAAGCTTGTGAAGATACAAACAAGAAGTTGTTGAAACCTCATAGATGTTTCAAGGGGAGGGTGTTGGTGCAGCAAAACCAAGAGTCACAATTGCATAAAATCCAGGACCCGACGGCTTTGCAGCGATAACCGCTCGTGAAAATTTAAATGACAAGTTTAACGAATTTAGGTAGACTCGAGAGACAAAAAGGAAGAGAAAGAAAATTTTTGAAATGGCTTGAATGGCAAACCTCGAAACGATAAATATAATATAGGAAACGAAACAAATGAAGAAACACTAAGAACCGCGAAGTAAAACGAAGAAATCAGAAGAATAACGAAACGAAATGAAAAGTGATTAGTAAATCATGACGGTGTATTGACATGGAAATCACTTGCGAGGTTAAAATACATGTTAAATTACGATTAAGTTGATATCGTATCGAATCACCAAAGCCATTTGATGCCAACAGGCACTAACATGGCCCTTTTCCTTTAACGCACCCTTAAAGGTAGTGTGCCACCTTCCAATGATTTCCCATTTTATTTTTCCTAGGATAAGAAGCTTCTGTTTTTACCTAATATCGCAAAAAAATGGGCCTGGAATAGTGCCTTTTTTGCCTAAAAGTTTATCGGTTTTTCGATATGTATAACAACTGCAGTGGGCTGACCTGCAAACAGGCGTCGGCAACAATCGCGAATGCGGCGCACATTTGACAATAAGCAAAGGTCATTATAGTTTTCGTCATTATAGAGTTACGACGTACTGGAATGAGTTATCAGCTGTCTAATCGTAGACAACGCAATGTCGAACTTAAACTGTAAGCCTGTATTGGTATTGTTTCTTTAATTTGGCTGTCGAACATTAATTTGTGGTTTGAAATATGATTTTATGTAAAATAATTGATATGAAACAGCCGTCTCTTAAGTTATGACCCCATTTCACCACACGCAAGTGGCAGAAATGACAATGATCAGCTGACGCATTTTTCTTGGCCGAAGTCAGAGCGCGCGGCCCGACGCACCACGCGTATTTGGAAATTCCGACCTCGATGAGCATCAGAAGCCACCTGACAGGCGTGTTCGAAACCGCAGGAGATGATGATGAACGGGTTTATCGAAACTTGATTGGATGAGCCTATCGGTAATAGCGATTTAGTGTGTGCATTTATTGTTCATAGTGGTGTGAAATGTGGTTGGGGTACGACCGACAACCCGTCGGGGCGAATTTCGCACTGGGGTACTCTGGGGTTTCCATGGGTTTTGAAGGTATGGATAAGTTCTAAAAATCCGGTTCTCCTTATCCGGGTCATTAACTCCATATGTTCCAAGAAAGCTGGCACACTACCTTTAAAGTATTTTGCACGGAGCTGACGTGAAAAGACCAGTCATGCGCGGGCACGGGCGTAGGAACGTCATGAAAAGTGGGTGGGCCACCCTGTCAAGGGGCCTCCTTTTCCAGGGGCCTCCTATTTTCAGGGGCCTCCAACTTTTGCCTCGTCCTGCTGGCTGCTTTCAAGTATGACATCCAAATCTAGCTTCTCAGATCGGGCAGATGTACCCAGGGGCGTAACCGCTTAAGTGAACAGTGCGGAAAGTCCGCACCATTTTTTAAAACTTATTCCCCCTCCGATTTTTTTTTTAGAATCTATTTGCCGCAAACGGCGCATGACCCCTGAAAACCCTTACACAAATGTCTTCCTCGTTTCCCAGGTGCCCCCATTAGCTTCATAGGCGCCCTCTTTGGCATATAAGCGCCCTATGTATAGTCATCAGAGACATCCCTATATGTGCCACAGTCTCCCCGTTGTCGCATACAATGTGCGCTTATCATAGGCGTCTCTCTTTTATGGACACTTGAAGGCGCCTCTCTTTGCCATGCCGGCGCCCCTGTTTCTTATGAATGCACCCCCATGGCATTGATCAATTGCAGTCTGCAGACCTCTATTGCATGTGGACGCCCATATATGTAGGCCTCAGAGGCGCCCCTCTTTCGCATTGAGGCGCCCCTATGGGCTTCATAGGCGCCCCTCTATTGCACGTAGGTGCCCTACTGTCTCAGAACCGCTCCCCTTTGGCATGCAGACGCCCATCTTTCGTACGGAGGAGCCGCTGTGGTTCTTAAAGACGGCATGGTGCTCCCAGACGCAGATGGGGCTCTCGGAGTCGACAGTGTGGGACCTTCAGTCGCTGATGGGTGCCCGCCGGATGTGGACCCTTGGAGACGCCGGTATGGGGCCCTCAGAGATGCCGGTATGTGGCCCTTAGAGACACCGGTGTGGAACCCTCAGATACTTCAGTGTGAAGCCCTTACAATTACTGGTGTAGAGCTATGAATGCGCTGGCTTAAATCCCTCAGAGGCCGGTACATGGACATTAGAGCTCAGTGAGAGCTTGTGTGGTGCCTTCAGTGGCCTTGTGGAGCCGTTAGACATCAACATGGTGCTCTCAGGAGCCGGTGAGTCCTCAGAGTCACCGGTGTGGGGCCTTCAGAGCTCCGAGATACTGGTGTGGGGCCCTCAGAGGTGTCGGTGTGGGTCCTTCAGATGTACCTATAGAGCCTTGAGATGCACAGGTGTGGTGGCCCACAGAGGCGCCGGGTGGGGTCCCCAGAGCCACCGATATAGGGCCCTAAGAGGACACTAGTATGACCCTCAAAGGCGCCGCTGTGTGGCGCTCATAAACACTGGTGTGGAGCCATCACAGGCGGGTGGAGCCGTTAGAGGACGGAAAGGGCCCTTAGATGCCTGCAAGGAGCCTTCAGAAACCGGTTGTGGCACCCTTATGGGGATAAGCGTGTCTACTTAGGAGCCCTTGAGGTGCTCTCATGAGCTCTGTGGGGCCCTACCGAGCCGAAATATGGCCACGGCCAGTTGCCGCGCATGGTTCTTCGGACTATCATTCTCAGGGGCCTCATCTGCCTAGTTTGAATAGAAGGGCCTCTCAGAGACCATCAGTCTCATGGGCCTCCTCTGGCTAGTATAAATAGAAGGGCCTGTTAGACCATCAATCCTAGGGGCCTCCTCTAGTTAGTATAAATAGAAAAGCCTCTCAGACCATTAATCTCATGGGCTCCTGTCGACAGTATAAATAAAGGGCCTCTCAGACCATCAGTCTCGGGGGCCTCCCTAGAAAAGTGTAAATGTGGATAGAGGGCCCTCCCCCCCTCAGATTCATTAGGAGTGGACCTCTCTGACTATGAGTCTCAGGGGCCTCTTGTGGCCAGTATGAATATAAGAGCCTCTCAGACCATCGGTCTCAGGGGCCTCCCTAGAAAAGTGTAAATGTGGATAGAGGCCCCCCTCTGATTCATTAGGAGTGGACCTCTCTGGCTATCAGTCTCAGGGGCCTCTTGTGGCCAGTATGAATATAAGAGCCTCTCAGATCATCGGTCTCAGGGGCCTCTTCTGACTAGTGACTAGTGTGTATAGAGGGCCCTCCCAGACCACCGGTTTCAGGGGCCTCCAGTGGCCAGTTATATGAACAGAAGGGCCTCACAGCCATCAGCCTCGGGGGCCTCTTCTGACTGGTGTGAATATGAGGGCCTCTCATACCATCAGTCGCAGGGGCCTCCCAGTCTCAGGGGTCTCTTCTGACTGGTGCGGGATTGAGGAACCTCCCAGACCGAAAGTTTTGGGGGTCTCCTGTGGCCAGTATGAATAGAAGGGCCTCTCAGTCCATCAGTCTCATGGGCCTCTTCTGCCTGGTGTGATGATAAGGGCCTCTCAGGTCATCAGTCTCAGGGGCCTCCTCTGACTACAGTGTAGATGGATAGGCCTCCCAGACCATCAGTCTCAGGGGCCTCTTCTGACTATTGAGGATAGAGGGGCCTCCTCTGACTAGTGAGGGTAGGGGGCCTCGGCTAGACCGCCAGTGTCAGGGGCTTATTCTGACTAGTGTGGATGGAGGGGCCTCCCAGACCACCAGTCTCAGACCTCTGACTATAGTGTGGATAGAGGGGCCTCCCAGGCCGCCAGTGTCAGGGGCCTCCCCAGACCAGTGTGGATATTGGGGCCTCCTCAGATCCACTAGGGCCTCTCAGGCCATCATTCTCAGGGGCTTCGACTGACAAGTATGAACAGAGGGCCAGTCCTTGGATCCATCACGGCCCCTTGGAGTCCGTGCGTGGGGATTCGTGGAACTTATTTTTACCGAGTTTGTTTATTCTGCAAGGCGACGACGTCCTCTCAAATCGAGACGAGGGGCCTCGCGTAAAAAGTGGGTGGGCCAAAACACATGGTTGGCCCCCCCACCTCGAAAAGTGGGTGGGCACTTGCCCACCTGGCCCCCCCTGTTCCTACGCCTATGTGCGCGGGGTAAACTTTCAGGATTTGTTGAGAAAAGACAGAACATGTTGCTATGCTTCTTTAAGCTGTCAGATTTCGTTTGTTCTTTTTAAGCTCATTAAAAAAAAAACTTTTTAACATGGAAAGTCAATGGGAGCGTCTTTGTTGCTTAATAACTTTTTACGTTAACTTTCCAGGCGGTGGGGGGGGGAGGGGGCATTTTTTGCCACCTTTAGTTTTTTCGATATATCTCGAGAACCGCTGCGCCGATCGTCACCAAACTTTCAGTACCCTCCCGTGAATAGCTATTGCACATTGTGACCAATTTTTTTCCAAAGGCTATGATAGGTTGGACGCTAATGACGTCAGAGTGACGTCATTTCTGCCATTTTTGACCCAAAAAAGGTTTCGCGAGAAGAGATGTCAGGCCTACAGCTTTAGAGATACAGAAAAATGTTTCGGACATAAAAGGTGTAAAATTTAGAGGGCTACAAAACTTTTATCTCAAATTTTTGAACTTTTTGGATTTTGACCCCCCCAAAAATAAAAAATACTTTTTTTTTTAATATAATAGCCGAAAAATCCAAAAAGTTTTTTGAATTTCGAAAAAACGGAAGATATGTGATAGACCCTACCACCTTCTATATACATACCAATTTTGAGATCGATACCCTTTTTTTGGCCAAGTTATAGCGAAAAAAAATGTTCAAAATTGATGACGTGAATTTTCAAACTCAATTTTTAGCAATTCTAGACCTCGCAGCGCAAAACAATGACCACCATTAGACTCCCCGTGACAAGCTGCATCGAATCAATACCCATTTTATGCAAAAATATCACCTTTGAAATTTGACCTTTTTTGACCTGACCTTGACCTGACCTCCACCAGAAAATGACCTAAACCGTACCTGATCGTCGTATAACCAACACCATTGAGTTGGAAATGAAAAACTGGCCATAAGACATGCATCGCACAACCTTAGTAAAGTTGGGTTCATGTGGTGACCCTTGGTGACCTTTGGTGACCTGACCTGTGACCTGACCTGGTGTGACCAGTGACCTCTAATAGCAACATATGTACTAGACAACTGACGCCCTATCGCTGATTTTCGACAAAATGCGTTTTACTCGGTGTTATAGCGCTTTCCCTAGAAGCCCCGTGAACGGTGAAACATTTTATCTTTGACCTGACCTGTGACGTCATCGGTGACCCCGAGGTCAATGAAATTTGGTTTCCCTCGACAAATTTGACAGGGCTATCGAACGCCGTTTGAATTTTCCGGATCCGTCCAGTAGTTTCGGAGATACGGGGGGGGGGGCAAAAAATTTTCCCCCCACCGCGCGGGAGGTGGCCGGGAGGCCCACCGCCTGCCGGGTTAAAGATGTATTTAAGTCAAAAGTCAAAAGTTGATAGGTTATACAACTTTTGATGCCTTTCCAATGATATATAGAACGTAATTGCACGTTGTGCCGCTTTTGAGGAATTTAGTAAAAAAAGCACGACTCTACCGAGAATTGAGCTCAGATAGTGTACGAACGTCGAACAGGTGACGACGGGAATGCCTCCCATAGAAGGATGCGTCATGCGACACGACTTTAATGCTAAATATTAGCGGCCGCCCGCCGTGGCGACGCTTTTTTAGGGCGTATATCTCCGCAACCACTGGACCGAAACACTTGCAGTTTTTTGTGTGTTGGATAGCGTATACCCATCTTACAAGTATTTTAGGTACCATGCACGATGCATGCGGGTGACCCCTACTGCACGTGACACGTGTAAAACGGAGAGGTGTCACTTTTATTGTAATGACAATAACACGGCAATTGCTGGGCTGATTGCGCTAAACTAAACAAGAATGTAGTAGGCAGCCACCGGGCGATGTGTTTCCATGTTGGGGTGCAAATGGGGTAATAAAAATTGACTCGCGTTGAGACAGGTCACCAAAAGCACTCAGTCTTCAAGCTCAAAGCCAAGGGATGTCTTATGAACTATGCTGTTTGGTACCTCGTAAGAATCGACCGCAATCGTACTTTTGGCCAGAAAAAACATGTTCGGTTAATTCTGGGACACCCTGTATGGACTATGGTTGCAGTGGAGACAGCAATTGTTTGCTTATTTCCTTATATCGCACAGTTGTATCGCCGACCACGCAATCTTGTAAAATCGTACAGAGCCAATCGCATAGTGGAGCCTGAGCCCACCGAAGCCTTGTAACTTACGTCGTAAGGATGTTGAAGAGCGAGACAACGTTGCTGTTTCCATCGCCACCGGCGAAGAAGGGCAGCTGTCGGTCTGTTCGTAACACGTCCTTTTTCACCATGTTGGTGCTCTGGTGGATGTCGTCTGTGACCTGAAGACAACAACAAACCATCACCGATTCGTATCAACAACTCCTGCCAGCTATTTATGATATCTAGAGGCAAATTACGCTAAGACAACAAACATCTCTATACGTTAGGGTGCAGGCCCCGTGTTAAGGCGGACATTTGGTCGGATGGGGATTAGAAGAAAAAACCGTGTCCTTGATAATTGATATTATCAAGAACTTTGGAAACTGCATACGTTCCATGCGCTTATGAGACATTTGTTGCGCAGTGTGTACTCCCTGTATATTGCCACCAATTTCTCTCGGCACTTCCAGAGGTTAAAACGTTTCTTCTGGGTTTAACCCTCGCCGGCACAGGGGGGGGGGTTGATGCAACCCCCCCCTAAGGTTTTTCGCGAATAACTCGCGTAAAAAGCGGCCGATCGCGACGAAACTTTCAGTACCCTCGCATTGATCAATTTTACACCTACCCTGAAAATTTCATGACCCTGACCCCAATGACCTTTGACCTGTGACCTCTTTTCCGAGACCATGTTTGGCCGGAATCGCGATTCGGCGTATGTCGGCTAACATTAGCCGCGCGTTTGCAAGCTTTTTGTGGTTTCAAACGTTCAAACATGTGATTTGATGTCGCTCCCATACATTAGGGTGGGTGTCAAGGTCATCTGAAGGTCAGGTCAGGTCATTGACCTTTTTTTTCTTTTCTTTTTGAGTGTGCTGATGCTTTTTTTTTCTGAACGTGCAAGTATATTGAACATCATCTTCAATATTACGAAATATACAAAGCAGTTTCAAGCAAACATACATCACTGACAGCACTTGGTACATCACATTCGCGACCAACCTCGATATACATAGTACGTTGTGGGACGGAGACGTTGGCCCCCGCCCGCGCCGCCTCGCACCCACGCGCGTCTTTCACGCGAGGCGGCGCCCCCTGACCACCGGCCCGCCCCACGGGCCACAGGCGGTCCGAGGGACGGGCCGGCGGCCCGGCCTGCCCAGCATATGCTGGGGGGCCGGGCACGGGTTGGCCCGGATGGGGTAGGGCGGGGGCCACAAATCGCACGAGGCGACGCTAACTCAATAATCACACAACAGAGCCAAGAGGTGCCACCCCTGGCCACATAGCCTCTTGGCAAGCGACAAGATCTCGAGTCCCCCAACCCCACCTCTCTCCCTCCCTACCCTCATTTACTAAACGGCTCTGTACATTCAGCTAAATACATCATCTATGGATATTTCAAATATAGTTGAGTGGTCCCTGTTCACTACAAATTTCCACCTCTCTCTAAATTTTTCTAACGAATTTTTGTTTTTTGCAATTACTTCTTCTGCACGACAATGGTTTATGATCCCTCCTATTGCCCCGTTTAATGACGGTCTAATGTAATCTTCTCTTAACTTACATGATGTTATATATTGTTTGCAGAGCAATAGTATCAAATTTACTACATCAGGGGCTTGTGTATACCCAAATATTACCGTGCTGACGGAAACAAAACTATCGGGGAGATTAAACTTATTCTTAAGCCGGGGCAGTACAACATCCCAAAGTCCAGTAACATCTTCACAGAGGTAGAAGAAATGTTGCAGGGTATCGACCTCAAAACAGGTTCTACACAGCTTGCTCCCTATAACGTTTCGGGACCAAAGGAATTTGCGGGTTGGAATATACCTGTGAAGGATGCGATACTGCAGGGACTGAAGTTTAGTAGATGTGGTACATTTATATGGCAATTTATATATACTTTTCCAGCATTGAATATGAAATCCCTCTTCTTCCCACTTACTCTGGGCAGTTGGAGACCGCCATACCAAAAGGGAATCGTAAAACTGCTGGTTTTGAAGAGATCTCAAGCAAATTTCTTTGTCTGCACTAATATTCATAAGACAACAACTCCTATACTCGGGGCTCAATGGCGTTCGATGGTCATGTTTAATTAAGTTTTTCCACTTCGTTGGTATTGCATTTTTAATGCTCTGAAAACTAAGGAAATGTATTCTAGCCTGTGGGTATTTTGTTTTGAACCTGTTAAAATTCAATAGGGATCCATCTGCTTCAACTAAATCATCAACAATTTTCACCCCTATTTCGTATATCTGTTTCAAAAACACCGGCTTTCTATCTACATTTATATTATCGTTATGCCAAATGGACTCCAGTCGAGCTTGCTTTGCACTTTTAACTTCCGTCGAAAACAAAGTCTGATATAGCCTAATTATTGACTTATAAAATTGCGGTATGCTCGCTTCTTTAACAAACCGTTTGGCATTACGATTTTTCAGTAAGTCATTAAGCTTATATTTGCCAATGCGAGCCTGTAGGAGTTCATCAGAGGTGCACAATCCTGCCTACTCGGCAACGTGCGAAGGTGACAGATTCAGGAACATCCTGCAAAGGGTGTGACAGTGTTCCCTCTCCTCGGTCCTGCATCGTGCGACGTTCATGTCAAATAAGTGATGTCACACCAATTTTGAGGAAAGCAGCTATTTTAGTGCTACATCAGCTTTTTGAGTTAAAAATATCACACTAGTTTGAAACTAGTAGGCACATGAAGTTTTTCCTACGAGTCGGTAAATTTCTTTACCCAGCGCACTGCGAATAGCACAAAATACTGTCACCAGGCGACTCGGCTATTCCTTCACCACTGTGAATGTGACAAAGTAGCACAGGAGAAGCCGTGTGACAAAACCATGAAGGTGACAACTTCATTGAAAGGGAAAAAGATGGAAATTTCTTCATATGGTATGCATATTTGAATTTGAGGAGAGCCATTTGAAGTGGTCGGCGTCGGTAGCCGCTCGTTCTTTGATGGTGGTTGGCGTTCGGGGTTAGCGTTTGTGCAGCGATTATTGAAGTCGAAGTGCTTTGCTTTCAAGGCCATTTAAGTTTGGCCTTGATAAGGCTGTGATGTCTCGATCCCGTGAGATAGTAACGTGTGGTTACTGTGACTCGACTGCAAATCCATGGAAAGGAAAGCAGCAGTACCTGAAACAACATGTAACTAGAAAGCATCCAGAACATGTTCAAGACTCCATAGGAAGCCACGCGTTCACAACGATTACTGGGCGAAGTTCATGAAGAAGAAATCAAACGAAGAAGAAGGTAAGAGTGTAGGGAAAATTACAGGGGAAATTATGTAGGGAAAATTACAAACTACCTTTCAATAAAAACATGGCATCTTGATCTATTCCATTTTTTTTACCCTGATCAGATATTTTCAAGATCAAGACATAACACTCAATTTTGTTGTCAGTCTTAAAACTAAATGTTATTGGTAAGCCAATTTTTGGGCTAGCGGCTCCGGCTACCCAGGTACCTGCCTCTTTCTGTTTTTTTTTTTTGGGGGGGGGGGGGGGGTGGGGGAGGGGGTTATTGGTATAAGCATATGCAAAAGTTAAGGACATCAGTCATTCACCAATGGTATGGTGGTAATTGTGAAGGTGAAGTACAGTGAAGATGAAACAATCTAACCTGACTACAAGTTCTGACCTAACCTTATGTATAAACCTAAAACTTTCAACCTACCAATTTACAACCTACCAAACTAAAGCTACAACCGAACAGCCTACTCACTGTACTTCATCTTCACATATAGGTACTTATACCAATACAGCTTGGTGGGTCCCTACTCCCTACCTTCATAAAAGTGAACACTGGAAAAAATTTCAGAGTACTTTATTATTATTTTTGTGTTGAAGTAAGTGCTAAAAAGTATCTTTTTGATTATTGGTGCTGTTTTTAAATAGTAGTTTGCTGAAAATGTTGTTCCGCAGGATGTGGTGGCTGGTGGGCCTGCCCCAAATTATGTTATGTGACTGCCAGTTGTAAGGCCATTTAAATTTTATTTAACTTCTTTACTGAAATGATTTCAGACTTATTGCACCTATTTCAGATGTAGGTATTTCATTTTTGTTGTTCAACTGCTGAATGGACATATACTGCAAAGAAAAGGACAGTTACCTACTCTTGAAATAGGTATTAAAACAGAATGACATCAATAAAGCATCTATGAATAGAACAAGACTTGCACATGGAAATAATGTGTCCAATTCAAATGTTAATTTCCTGTTGCTTTGTGATGAGAGATTGATTGGTAGTACAAATACCTTTATGTGGTCAGGTAAAGTGCAGAATTTAGTTGATTGGCCCTTACCATGCTCATTTGATAGTTGCTACATTGCTTGCTGGCTAATAGCACCAAAATTGTAATTTTTGGCATAATCCATCGACTTCTACTTAACATTATTTCTACATAACAGTTAGCTTGCCTGCACTCTCTTTAACAAACTCTCCATTTCAGGTATGACAGCATCTATGGAGGCAGAGCCCCAGCCTCAGTCTGGTGCCACTGTGGACTCTGAAGCAGAATATGTGGATGACCCTTCTGTTCATTGTAAGTACCTACTTAGGCAACTTTTTAATGCTAATTTAAATATAAAATTGAGTGTCAGTGGGTTGTTAGGTTCTGTCTCGCTTTCTATATCTGCCTATCACCCATTTGTTGCTTTCTGGTGTCTCTATATGCTATGTGATTGACAAACCAGCCCTTCCGCCTCCCCTGCAAACACGCATGCCAACACAAACAGCTTGCAACACTAGTGACATCTATTATGAGCGTTCAGCGCACCCTATCAGAAACTTTCTGAGGTGAACCCGGAGGGGTGTTCACGGGCACCGCACACTGCTGCGTGCGGTGTGTGCGGTGCGTCCAGCAGGCGTGGGGGTAGGGGATGGGTAGGCGGTTCTGACGTCACGGCTGCGTGCGGTGGACGGTCCGCTGTGGCCAGTCCCGACCGGCCACAGCGATCGCTGTGTGCGGTGACGGAAGGCTGACGTAGGGACGAAGTGGGCGGAGCCTCGAGGCTGTGTGCGGTCCGACCGCACACAGGGCCCGTGAACAGCCCTCGGTATCAGTATCTAGCCAAATTGAGGACAGAAGTTTGTATCAATGGAGTACATGCATACTATGCGCGCAAATTACTTGTATGCAAGTACCTACGTAGGAGGACAAAAGGCC